AGATGAACAACTGTGTAAATATAAATTAAAAAAAGATGACAATCTTAATAAATAAGCTTTACTATTTACATCTTTATATATTGCTTGGAGACTTAAATTAGATTCGTTAAAACAAACGAACGCAAAATAAAAACCCAAAATTGGAGCAGCAAACGTACAGGCGTGAGGTACAGAATTTAGGGTTGAACTGTATTTTGTTTGTTTCTTTTTTTTCTTTTTTTTTTCTCTTTTATACAGTAGACCAGTAGAATTCTTGTGAAAATAGATCCTCAGCACTTCATTGGATTATTGGTTGTCGTGGCTTCCAAAAGGTGCCAAGAAAGATTCCATAATAATAACAATAACCATAATAATAATAATAATTATAACAATAATAAAAAGATAAAATATGATACATAAATATGGAAGAGCAGTTGGTAATATGAATACATTTTTTTCTCTAGACGAGATCACAGTTTTACTTGTAAATATTACACACATATATATAATAGTACACATATAATATTATATATATATATATCATATATATATTTATATATATAATATGGCTCTATTCTGCTCCCATTGAAGCCAGTGACAAAAACAAAAAAACCTCTAACTGGCTTTGATGGGAGCAAAATCCAGCCCATTATCTGCAGACAGGTAAGTGATTACAGAGGCCGTACAATGCAAACTCCATAATGGTTCCAATTCCTCCCTCTTTAATTGCTGGTGAAAATATGTCATTAAAGCCCTGGTTCTTTGCACTCAGAAGATCGAAACTGGTGGTTGAATTGTGACCTCACCAAATGAAGATGCAAAAATGAAAATATATAGAATTGAACCAAAGAAATGTTCAGAACTGAGGTTCTTTTGGCTCAAACATGACCCTCATTAGTTCCACCTCCCCTCCTGACAATAATAGCATTGAATAAATAGCACCAAGACTCACTGTCTGACTACAGTGAAGCCAACTCATGCACTTGTCCTTGGCCACAGAGGAACAAATTACATTTTTAATTAAATTCTGGATCTGTAGATCAGGCCAAAGAAGTATAATATTTATTTGCCAAAAAATATTACTGAAGTCAAATGATAAGCCCTATATTGCTCCCACAAAAATAAATGAGAGTTTTGAACACTGGTTTCACTGGGGTAGGAGCAGTCAATTAATTTTAGGTCCTATTGCCCACATGGCCTGTAGAAATACAGCTGGGCAGATGAGAGTCTTAGCTAAGTCCTGATCAAGCTCCCACTGAGCTCAATGGTTTATTTCCATCAGTGGAAACAAGACTAGTCTGCCAAGGCTCAATCCAAGAATAACAACACTGTCAGTCAGAGTTAAAGGTGCTCAGCACCACTTGGAAGGGCTCAGAGCGTTACAGGTTTTGGCCCCTGGAATAGCGTAAAGTGGAAATAACTCAGTTGAAGTTGGAGTTATACCACTGAGATCAAAGTCAATGTAGTTATATACCATTGAGATCAAAATCAGACTCAGGATCTTAAGGGTAACGAGAGTATCCACATCACTGCACATGGCCCTCTCCCAAGGACAGTTCAGATGCATGTATCTACCTCTCACTGGAGTCTTTGGGAGTTTGGCAGGTGAGAAGACTGCAAGATGAGGCCTTCAGGCTGGAATTCATCCGAAGGAGTTAAATAATGACCTCCCAATATCTAAACCCTTTTAAAAGTCCCAGCCAACCAAGGCATTGGTTTAACCGCTCTCCCCACCTACTTCTGTCTTCTAATTTGAATTCTAATGGAAATCCAGGGATGGAGTCTAGGAAATGGGGAACCATTTAGTGCCCCCAATTCCAACCAACTGGAATTACCTGTCTGATCATTTAGCAGCTTTTCTTTTTTATTTTTTTAATTCTCTCTCTCTCTCTCTCTCTTTCTCTTTCTCTCTCTCTCTCACTCTCTCAATGTTCTGAATTTGGACTGTGCAGTGATTCTGAGTGCAGTAATGAGAGCACAGTGAAATACTGGTTAAATGCATATGTACAGTTGGATAATGTAAAAAAAAAAGCACAAATACACATGATCTTTTTAAAAAATAATCTGGAAAAATAAAATAAAAACCCCAAAAGCAACAATATACCAAGAAAAAGAAGTAGCCTTATTTCCTGGACTTATCACAAAGCACAAGGAAAACAAAACCAGACAATGTTATAAAACCTCACTGTATTTCTAGGGAAATCTACACTTAAGTGTCTAACTCTCTACTCAGTTGGCAGACAACGTGTTTTGCTTTCGAACACACAAAAATAGGTTCTGCTTTTCTCAGGTTTGGAACATGCATTTTTTCCTTTTTGCTCTCTTTCTTTTTTCTCCTCTCTTTTTTTTTTCTCTGTAAAGCATCATGGTTGTTGTTGTTTTCCCACTTGAATCAGTTGCAGCAAGAAACTGTTGTTGGTTTTTTTTTTCTTCGTTTTTTTCTCTCTCTCTTTTTTTTTTTTTTTTTAACACAGGTAAAACCTAGAACAAACCGACAGTTACAACCAAGTGAAACCGGAACCGGAAGGGAGGTAGCTGGAACCTGACTTCAAAGTGTCCTCTGGGGTTATCCTCCTCTCCCAGCCTTGAGGAGACGGCAAAACATGCAAGAAAGCAGGGACACCAACTCAGTCTGGGTGGGGGTGAGGTTGGGATAGCAGCTGATAGGTTTTCCCCACCCCTCATCATGTACAAATCATGGCTCTCTGCTTAAGCTCTCCCTCCTCCTAGTCATTGAGACCACCAACAGCAGGAGCCAGGGCTGGGCAAGTCCTGGTCCCAGTGAAGCCAGCAGGTTTGCTAATGGTTTTTGTGGGGTGCAGTGCTGGGTGCAGTCCTGTTACAAAGATGCACTTGCCACAAAGTTAGGTGCAATGGGACCTACCTTGAGTCAGCAGCTGGAGGCTGTTGGCATGAATTATTCTCTGTGCCCCACATTCACTTGAGGAAGTTCACATGGGACTAGTCCAATGTCCATTAGAGTCAACAGGAACTACACCTCTGACTGAGCCCTTAAGGAGCTAATGCCTAAACACCAAAGGTCAATTTAAACCTTCCCTCTGCACAGATACACAAGGGAGTGGAAGTTAGCCAGAAGCTCATGTCTCATAGCACCCTCTTACCAAGTCCTTGTGTTTGGAAAGTGTGACTGGGCAGAGCTGGAGATCAGCATTATCCCCTGATATAGAGTAGAAGTACTGACTTCTGCTCCTGGATCTGTGAGCCCGACCGGAGGAGATGCACAGTGTAGACAGCAGTGAAAAAAATAGCAGCATGGAGAGTCGGTCCTTCGGAAGAGGGCTGCTGCAGCAGGGAGATGCCCTGGGACTGCAAGCCTGATGCTGTCATGTGAAGCCATTGAGGTGAGAAGCTATACTTCTCTCCAGGCTGAACCCTCCCTCTGAAGTGGGGAGAGCTCATGTTCTGTAAGAAAAAGCTTGCCCTAATCTCTACCCATTCACACTTTTCTGTGCAGAAGGGGCTATGTTGCCCCGGTATCCTCAGAAGCCCAGAACAGCAAAAGGTAATTTGCTTAATGGAGCTCCCTTTTGGAGTCTGCAAACTTGGGAGCGCTCTGTTCTGGGGCAGGTGGACACGATGGAGGACAGAGTAAAGCTCATGCCAACATCTCAGGCACAGAGGCCATAATGAGATCAACATATTTGGGTCATTTTAATGAACCAGGTGACAATTTGGGAACTAGCTAAGATAAGGTGAGGGAGGGGGAGAATGCAAACTGCTTGTATGTATTTCCTTTTTGTTGTTAACGTTTGTTGTTAAGAGGCAAAAGCCTGAGGACTGCAAAGAACTGGGTGTCTAATGGAAGACCCATTAACATCAGCCGGAGCTGAGAATATAGTCGAACCTCCCTGAAAGAGCCACTGTGCCTGAACTCTCCTTTTTACTCCTATGCACCCTGACAGACAGCAGTGAGTGTGAGATGCTTGCATTACTGCCAGGGTCACCCCATAGTCTAAGACCGAAGACAGGGATTTTGAACATGGATCTTTCACCAGATTTCTGACACAGGCTCTTCCTCAATGTCCCCACATATGCATTTCTCAGGTTTGCTCTTAATTTAACTTCCTTGTTATCAGTAGACCTGCAACAGGGATCTATTTGGTTTTATCATTGCATCCTGAAGAAACCAGACCCTGGGCCCTGGAAGTTTACTGATTTTTCCTATAGCCATTTTCCCAGCATTTTGCAGCCACCCTGGTAAATTGTGGATTTAAATGGTTTTCTCTATAGCTTTTCCTTTCTGCAGAGTGTAAATACTTATTTGGAGAAAGTTCATTTCAAGCTGCTTTTATCCAAGAGATTCACATCTGCTCAAAGACAGCTTCAAAGTGGCCCCAGATCTGGCCACAGGGGCTATTATAGATTGTGAACATTTGCACTTGCTGCTGTCCAAATTTACGCTGAGATTTCCCAGTAAGACAATGTCAGCTTGCTTCTTCTTTAAGACCACTAAAGCCCTGGAGATAGAAGAATTAACACTTAACAGGACATTTACTTAGATACTTGTTATTGTAAGTAGGAGCACTAAGCAATAGGAGGCAACTCCTGCCCAAATTGTGCAGACATTAAGGATTTATTTGGGATGGGTTGTAGCAGCAGTGAGTGCACTGAATCCAGTGGACATCACAAGGACTGAGTGGGTGCTGGGCAACCAGAAAATGCTGAGTCCCAGTTCAGAAATAAATATCCAAAGGATTGGGGCAAGGGGTGCTCTCCAGGGCTAGAAGGGGATAGATAGGGGATGTGCAGATGGGAGGTGCGAGTACAGCCGCACACAATGCCATTTCTTTTGGAAGAGTCAAGGAAGCTGATATCAAGCTACCATCTGGGCCATGTCCACAGGCCTGGGAATCTAATACTGACAAAGGAGGTTGAAACACTAATACTATTCCCAGATATCTTTTTCTCTTGGCTTGTACTTTTCACACACTTTAGGGGCCCTTTTGCCTTCCTCCCTCTCCTGGGACAACAGGAAATGAAGAGTTTTTGTGGGGGGGGGGGGGGGGTTTTAAATATAACATACACAAACCCACACAGGGAGAGGAGAAATTTTAGATGAACCATTGGCTAGATGGAGATAAAGAAACAGAGCCCTTTGACTGACTGGTGTCCTGTTTTCTTGCCCCAGTGCTGAGAAGGAAACCAGAGGATTTGAAAGACAGGTTGTAGGTAAGCTTTAAGGCAGACTGTTTGGTTGCTTGGGGTTGTTTTCACCCTGTCCTGACACAGTAAGGAAACTAGTTGTATGGGACATAGCAGCAGGAGTAGCAGCAGCAGACATGCTCGAACGACAAGTATGGGGGTTTGAGTTACCCTCTCTGTTCCCTCAGGAGCAATAATCTCCATTCTTCAGTGCCAGCCCAACACTTACATGCCAAATCCTTAGACTTCCCACTCCCTCTGCTTCACCATGGGACTTGTCTGCCCACCTCTACACTTAAATATTGCTGGAGCTCTCACCTGTGAGGACTACAGTTTTCAGGCTGGTCACAAGCCAGGGAGCTGTGCTGAAAAGACCACATCAGTTGCAAAGCTCCCAGGCTGGAAGTAATGTTCCTGTGATGAGCTAACACAACCCGTTTTTCAGCTGGGTATTCAGCAAATCACTTGCCAAGATGCACTGCCCTGTGGTGAACCCACCCCTACCTCAGTGCCCTGAGCATGAGATACCTTGGCATTCAACATCAGACTAGGCTGGGCTTGGTTTCATCTGAGAGCTCAGCCTCTTCCATGAATGGTCTGAGTTGTGAGCACTGGAGAGGGGAAAGTGTTTTTGCTTTGTTGTCAATCTCTCTTTTTCTCTCTTTCTCTCCCTATTTTTTCTCTATAAATATGCGTATATATATATATATATGGCTTGTTTCTCGCCTTAAATCTAGATACAAACTGTTCAAATTAGGTGGGCACACAACTGCATAACACATGCTGTTTTGATACTTAAAAGTCTTCTTGACTTGACTCTTTGTTGCTGTTTGTTTTTGTTGTCACTATTTAAGATATATTTAATACAGAAACCCCTACTTTGAGTCCTCCTTGGACAAAAATTAAAGGCAGACTGGTTGAATTCTAAGGGTCCCTGGTGCAGAAATGCCATCCAGTTGAGCAGCTAAATGTTAAAAACAATACCAAAAAGAGATGTGGTGTCTCTCCTAGCCTGCCTGGTGCGGTGTGGCTGTCCATTCCACCTTGTTTGGCGTTACCCAAGACTGAAGCCACGCAGGTCCTTTTGACTGTGCTCTTGGGCGTTGGGATCCAGGCAAGCGCATTCTCCTTGTAAATCACAGGACATAGGGAAAGGAGTAACCTGTGGGAGGAAGCCAAAAAAATAGAGAGAAGGGTATAAGAAAATGAACTTCTCCACTGTCACATGGGTAAGGACCCATATCCTCAGACAAGAGCAGGATTCCTTGACCAAGTTAATTTTAACACTGTTTTTATTTTGGCGCTGGATTGGCAGCACTGGGACAAGTCTTCTGTCCATCCATGGCATAGCAGCTACAAGGCTGTATGAGCTTCCCCCATACCGCTTCACAGACGTACCTCACCTCAAACTCAATCTCCAGTGGTAAGGGAAGGAGCCCAGCACATTTGGCCACCAGCAAACAGAGCCTCTTACAGTATGTCATAGTATGAATATGGACAGGGTAACCCAAAGAGGCACAATCTCCGCCAGCAATCAGGCTTGGATCAACTATTTTTTATTTTAATGTGCCAGATTCACAACCTCTCCTGAAAGCCTACTTCAGTCCAAACACAACAAGGACACAACGCTATAATAAGGTCTCTGCGCTACCATCCTCGACGGTCTAAAATGTCACCATGCCCTGGGCCTCAGGACAGGAAGAATGCCCCTGTGATGAGGGTACGAGGTTGTGATATGGGGAGGCCCAGGTTCAGCTCCCTGCATTTTATCTAACTGCTGCTTCATGTCAAATGTATAAACAGTCAGTCCTTGCAGCAGCAACTAGCATACATGTGTCCCCAGTCCTAGCTGAATGCACTAACCACTAGGTTAGTCATGCTCCCTATTATTTCCTCTCTCTGGTCCAGTGAATTGCAAATTTTTCTCTAAAGTGGTAACTCACTAAAAAAAAATGAGTAATGACTGTTTACTACTTAAGCTATCAATGTGGTCAGGGTATCTAAATTCTGCCCAAGTCCCTCTTTTAGGCACATAATTCAACCCACGCATTTGATAAGATGCCTAAACCCATAATCCAGGGGAGGGAATTCCATTAGGCAACAGTACTTCTACAGTTTAGATGATGCCACAGAAAAATTCGCAATGCTTCCATGTGCTTATAGATGTCACCTCTAATTTTTCTGGGGTGGGGGGGGCAAATTAGCCTAAATTCCTTGTTGCAAGGAAATAAACTGTTATGAATTAAACAAATAAGAATGGAAATATGGATGAGATTTACTAAGGACGAGCCATTAAACACTGGGTGTTTTTTTCAGTGCAAATGATCCAACAAGCGAGCGGGGGGAGTTGTGAGGGGATGGGATCAGGAGAATGTGCATTGTGAAAATAAAATCTGCCTCTTTAAAGCAGCTAGTGCAGTAGCTGAAGCAACAGCCTGTCATGCTTGGCTATCAGAAGTTGATTTCAACCTATTTCATCATGGCATTTACATGAAGAAGCGGGGAGGGGAGTGAGTCTTTGTTGCCTGAAGTGAATTCTCAAGAGTCTCTTCCATCTGCGCAAATGGAGTTAATGACCTAATTCCCTTTCCCCCCACACCCCTTCTAGGACAGTGCCACAACCTGTTCAAATGTTCTCGGCAAGTACAGCATGCGCTTGCTCAGCCTCATGTACTTGGCTCTACTGCCATACGTTTGTTCCTTCTTTTATAAACACTTTTTTCCAGGCCGTGAAGCTTGGGTCTGTGTGTTTCCCCGTGCGTAATCAGCCGTCACCAGCACTCCAAGGAATGCGGACCCTTCACTCACATACATAGTTACCACTTCTATCCACCTATCTTTCCTTTTCATGCGTGCGCTGGCACGTCCATCTCTGACGTGCCTTTTTCCTTACACATGCAGAAGGGA